GGCCTCCATCAGCGCAGTGCTGCCAACCTTGTTTCTCTGGTCGACCTCCGCGCCGTGCCGCACTGCCAGCTCGACCAGCTTCTCGTGGCCGTTCGCGGCTGCGAGACACAGCGCGTTGCTGCCGTTGCCGCTCCGCAGCGAGACATCTGCGCCGCGCCGCAGAAGCGCCTCGGCCAGCCCCGCGCGGCCACGCGACATTGGCGACCATCAGCAGCGTCATGCCGCTCGCCCACGAGCCGTCACCAAAGGTGTACTCGAACCTCTCATCGACCCGCCCACCGCCGTCGAGCCACGCCAGCACCACCGCCTCTCCGCCTCGCCGAGCCGCAAGCACGACCTCCTCTGGCACCGCCTCGCTGCCCGGTGCGGCCTCCGCACCGCCCTCGCCGCTCGAGGCAGAGGCCACAGCACTGCTGCCTTCCACCGCCTCGCCTGCGGGTGCGCCGCCCGCCCCTGCGCCACCCGCCTCGGCCGACGGCGCCTTGCTCCGAGCTGCCGTCACCTCGCCGAGATACGTCCTGACGGCCTCGACGCACTCGGCGTGGCCCTTCTCCTTGGCAATCTGCAGCGCCGTCATGCCGCTCGAGCGCAGCGTCATGTCAGCGCCCGCCCGCAGCAAGCGAAGCACAACGGCGGGATGGTTGCCGAGGGCGGCGAGCATCAGCGCAGTGACGCCGAGATTGCACTGCAGGTTGATCTCTGCGCCGTGCCGCAGCAGCATCTCGGCCACCTGCTCGTGGCCGTTGTCGGCGGCGGCCATCAGCGCGGTGATGCCTGCGCTGTCCTGCAGGTTGATCTCTGCGCCGTGCCGCAGCAGCATCTCGGCCTCCTGCTCGTGGCCGTTGGCGGCGGCGACCATCAGCGCGGTGATGCCTGCGCTGTCCTGCAGGTTGATCCCTGCGCCGTGCCGCAGCAGCATCTCGGCCAACTGCTCGTGGCCTTTGGCGGCGGCGGCCATCAGCGCCGTACTGTCGTCGCTGTCTCGCGCGTCCGCCTCCGCGCCGCGCTTCAGCAGCAGTTCGACAATCTCTTTGTGACCGTGTTCGGCGGCGATCAGCAGGAGCGTACAGCCGCTCACACCGCGATGCACGCACGTTGCGTCAACGCGTCCAGCCCCGGCGAGCCACGTCTGCACCACGTCGACCTTGCCGTTCTCCGCCGCCGCCTCGATCCTTTTCGGCAGCGCGAGCGGCGCAGCAGTAGCCGCCGTTGACGCGTGCCCGCGCCGGGACGCGGCCGAGCCAGCCTTCGTCCGGCCGGGCATGCAAAGCGGGCGGCGTTGCGGAGTGCTGACTCCTCTCTCTTTCGGGGGGGGGGCCGC